GATGCTGCTTCTCATTGTCTTCGCTTGATGAACAAAAGGTCGTCCCGAATTGGTGAATTTCAACATCAGCCAAAAGTCCAGCATTTCCAGCCACACTGCGAATAATTGGGATTCTTTCGGATTGATTGGGACTGTATCATAAAAATGCATTTCATCAGGCGGTCATCCGAATATAAATCGAGGTACACCTAATAGTCTTCGTTGTAGAGAACTACAGATTGCTGAAGCTGAGGGTGGTCGTAAAGCGTATCCAGTGGAATTCAGTGATGGCCATGAGAAAATTGGTTGGAGTTACGATAGTATGAAGTTGCGAAGTGTAGCGCATAGCAGGCTTCGAATGCGATATAAATCCCGAGCGCCATTTCTGATGTGCAGAGAGAAAAGGAATGCAAGAAAATTGAGCTTCTGGTGCGGAGAGCTAACGAAATATCTTGTGACCGAAGAAAAAAATAGAAACAGTGAAGGAATTGGAAATCTTTGAACTTGTCCAGGAGTGCCCAATCCCTCCTCATTCAGCAACTCCCATGTTGGTAGTTTGAACTTCATAAGACCTAGAAGGAGCAAGATTGACTGCTCTTGAACTCCGCCATTCCGATCGGCTGTTCTTGAGTAATCGCGAATTCTCCCTGTACATTCGTTTTCGTAGACATAAGAAAAATTCCCAAGCCGAACGCCATTTGCAGTCGAGTTTTTTGGAAGTTGTCTACAATGGATTATTCATAGTGAATTGATTAACCAACAAAACGAGGTGTGTTGAAAATCGAGTGGGCCAGATTTCGTGTAAATCTGTTGCAGAAGCGAATTTCGAATTAGTGATTGTGAAAGATGGCTGCATGAATCCCCAATTTGAATTATCGAATTTTGAACTGGGTCACAATTGAAGCCGAGGGACAGCGCAGAACAGTGCAGTTCAAATGTGCCCCTAAAAAATACTCTGCAAAATGTATTAGATTGAGTGAAGTTCTGTTATTTTTTAAAGCGTAATTTAATGTCAACGGGACCCTTCTGAAGGGGGTCATCAAGTTTATGGGCAGCCGTCCTGAGCAACAACTGGTAAAGCAACAACCCGTTAAAACTGGTGCGGTAACAGCGACTGGTAATGATGCAGGGAAAGGACACATCGAGACAATTTCGAACGCAACCGCATCAATGCAAGGATGTACCATACCCGTCCACGTATAGGCTATCTTGTCCGCTACGTCATACTCCACGTTGCCTGAAGGCGAGCGCAAAATATCTAGTCCGTAAGTTCACATGAGTCGCCATCAGAACAGTTTGTAAGGCCCTAGCGCAATTATCGCGCTTGTGAGGACGTGATGTAGTACGTGTCCTTTGGATGGGACAGATTCTTTAGCACGACCCCATCCGTGGTTGTTGTTTTGACAATTCACTCTTAGGATATGATTGAGCATGTTTTACCTGATATCTGGCTTTTTCGTTTCTAGTGCGGAATGGAATTAAATATTTCGTCACATTTTTTATGTTTCCGCCCTATGTAATATCTGGAGTTATTTGAAATTTCAGTGAGAATGCAGCGCAATCCAGAAAATGTCGTAATGAGGCCTGTATTCAGATGGTCACTCGGATGTCGATGACTGCGAGACAGCCGAGGAGAAAACGCCATATTGCTCTCGGTTCGCGACCCAGATCAAGACGAAGCAGACTGAACGTCAGAAAAGTCCTTGTGTGAAACAGAGTCGCTCGAAGGCGCAGGTAAACGAGCAATTTTCGGTTTTTTCAATCCGATTTGTGCCGGTCTATAAATTGCCTGTCATGATGGAAGAGAATTTTAGCATGGTGGAGCACGAACAAAGGTGTCACCACAAGGTGGAAGTCTAACATTCAGTCATGCTAAACACTTTTTGAACAACTTGATTCCGCCAAGGTTCAGTATGCCTATACAGTGTTTGAAAAGTGTTGGAGCTTCTCTGAAAACGGCTGTTTCCTTGTTAGAGAATTTCT